CAGTCTATGGTCTATGCCCACGCACAGCAGAAAAACCACGTCTTCGCCTTTGCTAAAGCAAGGGTCCTTGCCCAAGCCAATGACAAAATGGCTAGATTGCTGTCGGAAAGTTGGTCTTCGACTGGCAAACTCAACATGGCCATAGACTACCATCCCGCCTACCAGGCGTTGCGCAGAAGGCTCGAGTCAGTTCAAACAAGGCCAACAGGAAGACGAAATAAACTCAAGTGTGGAATAGAACCAGCTTCGGTGGTACACAGTGGAGAAGCCGGCCAGAAACTATATCACCGCCGCGCCCACGAGTTCGAGATTAACTCAGGTGGGCAGAAACACTCGTCAGTTGACGAAGAGCACGTCAGCCAGCAGGCTTACTTGTGAGCAGAGATTACACGAGCACACCAGCGATTAATTTTACGGTCAATCAATATCGATCAGGCACGTTTGGGTTTGTGCGTCGGGAGCGGATATAATGACTGGCACACGGTAAGGCTGTTACAGTCCCGGCGAGCAGGAACAACCACCCAGTTACCCTGACGATGGAACCGAGATAGTGTCCGAAACGTTAGTCTCAAAATAAATCGATCCATGTCCTCGTACCTTCTTCTCCCTCTTCTTTGGGGGATGGTGAAAACGAAATGATATCTGGACCTCGAATCTTCACGCATATTTTATTTACATGTATTAAGCACTCACAATCAATGCTAAAATGCATACCATTTAAGTGGCCGTTTTTTTACAGAATCAGCTTTTTGTCAGCGGTAAAAAAGAAGCTCATCACAGCGTCGGCATCGTAGCGTGACTGAAAATAATTGAAATTGGACTGCATGATGAACAGTATTGCAACCCTACTCAATGCGAATTTGCGACTGATTACCGATCTTTTTAAAATTGCGAAATGTTTCATGCAGCACTCCCCATGCCGTATCTCCGGGATTTCTTGCATAATATCCAACACTACAAGACGTTTAATGTAGACATTATATATGCAAGAACAGACGCTGCTAAGATGATAGTTAACATTGCAGGAATGCGACCACTGACTGCGCATGATGCTAGTTATAGTAACCCCCTGACGGCTGTCTCTATCACATTTAACGGGACATGACAAATGCAGTCCCACTGACCATTTACGGGATGCAACTTTGTATGTAATGCACCAATTCAGTGACTGTTCAATGACAAACATTCCCATCAGAGAACTCAGAAGAGTATTTGGCGAGCGAACGTAGCTTTTGATAAAGTATCAACAGGGCATTCCATTTATATAGGAGGGGGTAAAAAAGTGACATGTGGGCAATTATTTTCATAATTACAAGTAAAGTAGTCAGGGGAAAAGTGGGTTAGGGTTGAGGTCGGGATAAATAGTATGAGGCTGGTCACGAGGCCATGAGGGTTTGTTCAATCCGGACAGGGGCAGGATGGAAGGAAAAGAAAGCGCTGAAAGGTGCAGATGGGTATGTTTTGCGCGCACGAAACCGGCTTCCTTATCCGCATAGCGGTGCTTCTGCTGCTGCTAGCAAACGTGGACCCAGGGACTTTGGGTAGTTTGTTGGGACCATATAAATTATGTTGAAGGCTTCGTTGGCCTTAGCACGATGTCTGAAGTCAAGAATGTGGGCAAACATGGCGCTGTTGATGCCTTTAATTCTACCAGTCGCGTACTATAAATCCCAACGTTAACCTCCCCCTATTCCCATGAATATTTTACCTGTAATGATAAACATAATTGCCCGCATGTTACCTTTCACCCCCTCTCCAGGGAAAGTTACGTATGCTCGATAAACTCCTTCCCGTTCACGTCTCCACGCCCCTCCTGAGGAATGACTGCTACCCTGCAGTCCACCTGCCCCTGTCCCAACCCCCCTTCTTTTTAACCACGCCATATAGCCTTGCATGAAGATTAACTAGCATGAACTGCCATGGTATGGCAACTACCTCCCTCCTCCTCTACCCATCACCATACGCCCGCATTTATGACTTATTGTTTCTACTAGCTTTACCTATGAAATTTCACCGCTCTAGGCTTGTAGGTAATTGGACAGTTTATTGTCTTATTCATAGGCAACTACCGTCTGCAGATGAATAAGAGGCCACGAAATTGTATGACGCTATTAAATTCTGCTAGACTTGTGATCTTCGCCTTGTTCAAATTCCTA